TGACGGCCAGTGGGGTGGTTCCCTATGCTAGCGTGCCTGCTAGTAGCCTTAGTGATGGAGGTATAATCTCATTCTCCCTAGCTCAGCGTGCCCTACAGCTCCTTGCTATCAGTGGTGCGGTGGGGGCTGCGAGTCGGGTTATGGGTCGAATACGAATGAGGGCAAGTGAGGGGTCTAATGCCCCAGCAGAATCACCCTCGGGATTGCACGTGTCGAATCTGCATACCGTCTTGAGTGAGGACCCCGAGATGCCCATCCTCAATGGGGTTACCCTCGACCTCGAACCGGGTGAGGTAGTGGCCCTTCTAGGCCCTAATGGGTGCGGCAAGAGTAGCTTCGCTCGAACCCTCATGGGCGACTCGCAATATGTGGTTACTCATGGTGGAGTTGAAATGAAGGGGGAGGATGTGTTGTCACTGGATGTCGATGAGCGTGCCTCCAAGCTCGGTTTGTTCATGTCGTGGCAGGCCCCTGTTGAGGTGCCTGGTTTGACTAACTTCACCTTATTGCATGCAGCATTGAATGCAACCAGGCAGGCTAAGAATCTACCACAATTATCGCCCTTTGAGTTTTATGACTTTGCCAAGTCTCGGCTGATGGAGGTCGAACGAGGGGAGGAGCTGTTGGAGTATCTGGATAGACCTGTTAATACGGGGATGTCGGGTGGTGAACGGAAACGTGTAGAGCTCCTACATGCAGTAGTGCTACGACCTAGACTTTGCATCTTTGATGAGATCGATAGTGGCCTCGACGTAGATGCTCTAAGACAAGTAGTGAGGGAAGGGGTTCTCTTGCTGACATTTTCACTTGAGTGAATAGTACGACGCTATTAAGTTCGAGTCTCGAGGGAGGGCTCATTAGCATCCTGGTAACTCATTAATGTTTGGAAAGTCGATAAGACACCCACCGTGTATCATATCTTGTTAACGGACGGTTCATGGCGTTGATAGTAGTTCCTATTTCAGGTAGCTACCACCCTCCGGTCCTTACGTGAGGTGGATCCGTCTATAACGATGCTGATAGTATCCCACTACAAGCGAATGCTGGATGAGCTACACCCCACTAGGGTGTTGGTAATGCAGGATGGTGTAATAGTACATCAAGGCGGCCCTGACCTCATCAATGTGGTGGATAGAGGAGGCTTCAAGGGGGGATGGTTGCAACAACAACAACAAGAAGATGATGATGATGACCCCGTAAGTATCTAGTGTATTTCGCAGTGAATATTTTCTGTCGTTGTCTCCGATCTTGTGTTTCCGATGCAATAAATTGGACTCGCGATTAGCTGTAATACTCTCGTTTGAGTTTGGTGCATTACTTTCTACTGTATGTATGACATCGGCATCCTCTATACCGAGTAGCTGTAGTACTAATAATGTAATAATGATCTAATAATGTAATATATAGCTATATAGAGTAGCCGTAATATTGCTAGTCGTGCTTAATGGTATAGCCTCTACCGTATTTACAACACTGACACTAGTAGCTGTCGTATTGCCGTTTACGTGGGGTTTTATAGTTTCGATTATATTTATCAATGTTGCCCAAACAACTGACCACTAAGGGGGCCAAGAGGCGCAAGATGGATATTCCCAAGAAGATTGGATTCCGTGGTCGATGGTTTCATGGCAAGGAGCTCGATGACCCCGTCTTTAAGACCCATAAAATACCCCATATATTGATACCAAGTAATACGCGAGATCAACTCGTAGTCTTATGGTTTAATATTCACCTACAGAGACTATCACTGATTGGCGTAATGGAGGTAGGGCATTGCTATGTATAGCTATGGCTCAACTGGAGGGTATTAAGATAAGGACGAGGGGAGCTGCTATAAGATGGTAGTAATACTCTTCTGCGTAGGTCGTCGTCATGTTGTGTTGTGCTAGGCAGCACGACCCGAAGAAAGGCTGCCAAGATGGTCGGTGTGGTAGTGCCTGCTCACAGGACTATAATAGATGCATGTGTGCATGGAGGGTCGAGGGGACTAAGCATCAACATTTCTCTCGTATGGATGGGGTAATGGGTGTTGATACTGCTACTGTGGCGAGCAGCAATGGTGTAGGTATTGATGAAATATAAAGGGGATGTACCAGTACACCACCTAGTGCCGATATGGGGGCCTATGAATGCTGTAGGGCTCAGGAACAGGCGGAATAGTTTACCGTATAGGTGAGCAGTCACCGGGGTCTCATGTGTTGTAAGCCTGTTAGAGTCCAACCGGACGGGTCTCTGATTCCATGTCCGATATCGGCATCATTGGCCCCTCATGCGGCGTTCAACGAGTCCAAGGACTTCCGCTATGAAGAGTACTTCAAGGGGAAGGGACAGAATAGTAAACAGGATGAGCATCCTAGGAGAGGCAAGAAGGAATGGACGGGGTAATACTACTGAGCAAGGTATTATGACGATTTGAATAGAAGTTAGTTTGATCCCTGGGCTTGGTCATTACTCTATTATGGTAGGAGCATGACCACCGCTGTTTGTTATGGAATTGATATTACTGATGAATTTACTATGTGATGTGATATTAGGTTTGACAGCGACTCCGATGCAGAGCATGATCCCATCAGGATGTCAGCTGAGGACAGTGATGAAGATGGTGAGGACGAGCTACCATCGCAGGGAAGGGAACATGGTGAACTGTATGCACAGAGAAGCATGAACAATGGTCATTACCTTAGGAGTGAGTGAAGAACGTCGTCTCTATTTAACAATGCATAACCTTTGACGCATGTGTGGCAGTTTCTGCTCTCCTACACGGGTTGCGTTTCTGTCCGTCTAGACTGTATGCTCTTTATCCGGGAATAAAGGATCTGGCCAATGGTGAGGTCATCACGTTATAGTTAGGGTCATGTGGTAAGCACATTACCTAAGGCTCCAAGTGCACTGAGACGACAGCTCAGGCGCATACCATCTCACAGCCTCTTCGTCAGTATCAACCTGCCATACTTTTCTCTGATTCGATACGAGGGATAGATACGTAAGTCTTTGTAAGCCTTGTCTATGTTTCCAGCAATACTCATGTTTGTATAGTCTCGCTCGCCTTTGGTGGTCCCTCTTAGTATGCAGTACATTTGAATCAGTCGAACCTTCAGCAAGTGACTGTCTGGTATTCACGGTGGCCTGGGTTACCTCTACCGATATCATTGCTATTTTCAACGGTGATGCACCCGAGCAATGGCAGGAATACTCGGTGCAAGGACCGATCTACACCTTTTAAACATCTAGTTCGTCTTTGGAACCATCAATTTCGTCGGGACGCACGAAGTTGGAGGTACGAATCCGAAACGGGCAGATCATATTCGCAATTAGAACTTTCAACTTCGTCATAGAACTTTCAAGTTCGTCCGAAGTCGATAGGAAGTTCAAGTTCGTTCTAATAGAACTTTCAATTTCGACTCTCGAACCTTCGAGTTCGTCATAGAACTTTCAACTTCGTCGAGTACACCTTTGGAACTTCAATTTCGTCCCCTTAGGAAAATCGACTTCGTCGTTCGGAACTTCAATTTCGTGTTACCGGGGCAATTATGCCAGTACTCTCATGGTGAGGCTCGTGTTTTGCTGACCGTGTCACTCGTCCGTGGGCATCATGCGGGCATGCTATTGGGTTGTTGAGTAAAGCAATCAACCACGAATACATGCCTGCCGGTGGTTGACTATGTCGTTTTCTTGATCGAGCCAGTCATATGAGTGGCTGCCAGCTACTGGCTGGCCGCACTATTCATGTGACATGACAATGTCACATGAATGAGAAGTCACAT